GGGAGGCACAGACCTTATCTTTCTGCTGCATCCTAAGTGAATGCAACGCTGCTCCACCTCTTCCGAGTCTGTAAAAGTATATCTTTTTTCTTGGCCAAAATTTACCATTGAAGCCTCCAGTTCGGATGATGTAATCATGTAATCAGAATCTTAGACACTTTGTTCTGTTGATTCAACCCATCCACTGAAAGAAAATTTTCCTGTTTGAGATCCAGAATATTCAAGTTGTTTTCTTGAACGAACTTTGTTACCACTAGAGACTAGACCTGTTCATGGGCCTGGCCGTGCTGGGCTTTGTCTATTTATCAACAGAATACATTCAGGCCCGAGCCCGATCCCGGCCAGAAATTTGAAAACAGATTTTTTTTCTTTTTTCATTCAATAAAAAGGTGTTTTATTTATATTAAAAACCTTCAAAACTCAAAAATAATAAACATCTCACTATTACTTGAGAAAAAGAGAAGAACAAAGAAAAAATATTGTATATATATATATTTTGATAGATAAAATTCAATTGATTTCATTAGAAGCAAATGCTAAATAGCTCGTTACAAGAATCCCAATATGAGGCGCGAGGTGCAACCTCACTCATTGATACAGAAACAAAGTTACAATTGGGCCCAGTACAACTGTTCCCTAGTTACCCCTTGTTTAGCTAGAGAATCAGCAAAAGCATTTGCCTCCCTCCCCACCCACTGTATAGTTACCTCCATCTGCTGAGTTAACCATTTGAATTTCTTCAATTCATTTATGTAAGCCCAGATCACTGAATCTGGGTTTTCTAGCCAACCCACCACCACCTTGGAGTCCCCTTCTATCACCAAATTTTCCAATCCTAACTCTCTTGCAATCTGTACACCTTGTAGGGCTGCGTACAATTCTGCCTTTAAGGAGTCTCCATTCTCCACTGGTTCTGAGAAGAGTGCTCTTAAGTTTCCTTCCTTGTCTCTGATGACCCCTCCTATTCCAGCTGGGCCTGGGTTTCCTTGACTACTCCCATCGAAGTTTAATTTCAGAAATCCTTCAATGGGAGGAGCCCAAGCCAACCTTGCCTTAACTTTTTGCATTGAGCTAGAAGCCGCTAAAGGCCAATTCCTCCACATATCATCAAATGTGAAAATTTTGAATAGTTCCACCGTTTGTAGCCAGTGTATAACCCTAGTCATTACACACTTCACAATTTGTCATTTGCTCCTTTCTTTCTCTTGGAAGATTCTGGCATTTCTCTTTTCCCACAAGGTCCACAACACTGCTACTCTAGTGTACCTCCACATTACTCTTCCCTCTTCTTTGGTAACACAAAGGTAGATGGGTCAAACAACATTTTTATCTCCGTTGGCATATTCCACCTGCACCCAAACAAAGAGAAAAACCAAACCCGTATATCTGTAGCAAATGAACAGGAAATTAGTAAATGGTAATAAGATTCACCATCAGATTTGCATAGAGTGCACCAATTCGGGGAAATACACAAAAAGGCCTCTTCTTTTGCAAATAATCTAGTGTTAATTTTCCCAAGAGCCACTTCCCAACAGAAGGCCTGAATTTTAGGGGGAATCAACGGAAACCACACTTCTTTCCAAGGAAAGGACAGAGAGGAAGAGGACTGACAAAGAGCTTTAAAAAATGAGGCACAAGAAAAGGAACCTTTAGAGCTTGGGAACCAAATTCTTCTATCTAGACAAGAAAGCTCTAAGCAAACACTATCAAGGAGAGGGAGAAGCTCTGACAAACAAGTTGCTTCCTCATCCCTTAAACCCCTACGGAATCCGAGATCCCAATTAAGACTCAAAAGGCAAAGAAGGAAGAACCGAAAAATTTGAAATGACCTTATTTTTATACAACGAAATATAATACAAAGAAGGAAAAACCTCCTTTAAAGGCCGGTTACCAAACCAAATGTCTTCCCAGAAACGAATTAAATTCCCTGAGCCAACATCATACATGATGTACTTGAGAAACTGAGGGAGGAGGCTATGAATTGCTTTCCAAGGTGCTGCCAAGGTAGCCCTACGCGATACACTAGCGTCCCGGCCATTCTCCAATCTACCATGTATACTTGCCACTACTTCAACCCACAAATTTTCTCTCTCAAGAGGCCATCTCCATAACCATTTCCCCAACAGATTTGTATTCTTCTTCCTTACATTCCCTAGACCTAAACCACCTTCTTCCTTTCTTTTACACACAACCTTCCATTTTATTAAGTGGTCCTTTCTAGTCTCTCCCAGCTCCCAAAGGAAATCCCTCATAATTTTTTCTAATTTCTTTTCTTTTCTTGGTGGAATCCTAAAGACAGAGAGAAAGTAGATGGGTAGGTTAGCCAGAGTTGATTTTAATAGCGTGATCCTACCTCCCAAAGAGATGTAACTTCTCTTCCAAGCTACCAATCTCTTTTTACATCTTTCTATAACTGGGTTCCAAAACCTACTTTCCTTTGGGTTTGCACCTAGGGGAAGCCCTAGGTAGGTCAGAGGCCACAAGGTGATATGACATTCTAAGCAATCTGCTATCCTATGTAGGACCATCCCCTCCATATTAATCCCTACTATGCAACTCTTGTCCAAATTGATTTTCATATTTGACACTCTTTCAAACTTCTTGATTAGATTTTTCAATCTCCCGACTTTCCTAATATCTCCTCCTTCACAAAAAATAATGATATCATCTACAAATTGGAGATGAGTAAGTGGGATATTGTCTCTCCCCACTCTCCAACCCCTAAAATCATCTTCTCTGTTTGCCTTAGAGAGAAGTCTACTGAAGACATCTGCCACTAAAGTAAAAAGGAAGGGTGATAGGGGATCACCTTGCTTTAACCCTCTACAAGCTGGGAAGAAGTCTTTTACCACTCCATTAACAAGGATATAAAAATGACAAGATCGTACACACCCAAGCATCCAATTGCACCATCTCTCCCCAAACCCCCGTTGATGTAGAACTTCTTTCAAAAAACCCCAATCTACCATATCATAGGCCTTTTCTAAGTCCAATTTGCACACAAAACCTTCCTTCCTAGATCTCATCATCTCCTCTACACATTCATTGGCTATTAGAATTTGATCAACTAGTTGTCTCCCTTGAACAAAAGCTCCTTGATACCGATTGATGAGGGAAGGGAGAATTACTTTGATCTTCAATGATAGGACTTTAGCAATTATCTTGTAAACACTAATCACTAGACTAATGGGTCAGAAATCCTTTGGATGGTTAGCATCACCTTTCTTTGGAATCAAGGCCAAGAAAGTTGCATTAACTCCATGGAGAATTCTTTAAAGACTTTCAGTAAATCATCTTTCGGCACTTCCCAACAATCCTGATAGAAAGCCATTATGAATCCATCTGGGCCCGGTGCTTTAGACCTATTCATGGAGAACATTGCCTTATTTCTTCTTCCTCAAAATCTCTTTCAAGCCAATTTGTTGCCTCCTCATCTAGTAAAGGCCACTCCAAACCTTCTAAGCTCAATCTATCCTCCAGAGGTCTCCTGTAAAGGGATTTAAAGTGGTCCACAAAGATTCTGGCAATTTCATCTTGATTTGAGATTAGCCTTCCATTGATTTCCAACCTAGCCACAAAGTTTTTGTGCCTTCTTCCATTGGCGATCGCATGAAAGAATTGTGTATTCCCATCCCCTTCCTTTATCCATTTTTGTCTTGACTTTTGTCTCCAAGATGTTTCCTCTCTCTTGAGGACTTCTTCCAATTCTTTTTTTTGATTTCCATCTTAAATCCTTCTCTTCCGCACGGAGATTTCTCTCAATTTCCACATTGTCCAACTCTTCAATCTGGGAAATTAGAGTCAGTTTCCTTTCTTCTAACCTTCCAAAATGATCCCTATTCCACTCCTTTATTTTAGATCTTAATCTTTGCAATTTCTTATGGAATTTGATTCCTTCCCACCTTATTCCTCTTAGTTCCTCCTTCCACCAATCCTCCACTTTCTGAATAAAATCCGGATGCGTCAACCACATGTTTTCAAATTTGAAAGGAGCAGGGCCATGTAAGAAGATTTCTGTTCCTAATCTAATGGGGTGGTGATCTGAAGTGACTCTAGGCAACACCCTGGAAACCAAACCTTCCCAATGATTTTCCCATCCTCTATTGAACAGAAATCTATCCAGCTTTGAGCATAGTGGGTTTTCTTGAAAATTGGACCAGGTGAAATTGGGTTGCAACAGAGAGATCTCCTTCAATTCACACAAGCCTATGAATTCATTAAATTTTCTCATACTAGTGGTGATAGACTGATTGGGATTAGAAGTTTCATTGGAAAATCTTATCACATTGAAGTTCCCTCCCAAACACCAAGCACCTTCCCACAAACCCCAAATTGCATACAGTTCCTCCCACATATCACTTCTCTCTATAAGTATTTGGTCCATAGACATTAGTTAACACCCAATTGAATCCACATATATTTTTTATTATTTAATATATAGTATCATGTCGGGCTTTGGCTCGGGCCGGGCTTTTTTGAGAAAGCCCGAGCCCGACCTAAAAAAAAGTCGGGTCCGGTGCTTTAGGCCCGAGCTTGAGCCCGTGGGCCTAAAATTATGACCAAGCCCAACTTATAACGGGCCGGGCCGTCGGTCTACCCAGCCCATGAACAGGTCTAGTTACCACCCACTCCCATTTACCACAATCTTTCCTGCTTTTTCTCAAATGAGTACCTAAATGATGCTTCTTGATGATCGACTCTTTCTGCCAGACTTGAAGCTCTGAACCTCAAACCAAACAATGGTTTACCTTTCCTGACCCCATGAATAAGTTTCTATGTGCTATGGTGTGGCTTCAAATATTTGGTTCCATCTGTGTCCTCATCTTATTATTCCATGTTTGAGGGAATGCAATATAGATGTTGAAGGTATATTATTTGCTTTTGATTGGTTGTACTCATTTAAATTTATCTGGTTTCCCAAGCAGGGATAAAATATCTAGATTGTATCTCTTGTTAACAGTGGCATGGGAAATTTTTTATCCAATATATTTCTTTTGCAGGTTACAATTCCTCTTGGACACCCTACTGCATTTTCAATACTTTCTGATGGGACTGAACATCTTTTACAAACCAAAGATAGTAGCTCGTAAGTTCACTTGAATTTTATGCCACTAAAGTATTTTCAATAATGCTTCAGCTTACAATAACCAACAACCGATAGGAGGACAAGTCTAAACTATTAACGTATTTTGAACCACTTAAATGAGGCTGAGATTTAGGAGTATGATGAAACATAGTAGCTATAGCTGTCTAATATCCCAATAGGTTTTCTTAAAATGAGTCCCATAAGGTAGAACTGTTTCCTAGAATGTACTACATCAATTATTGGTTCTCTGTTCCAGAAATTTGGGCAAGTTAAGCCATTATTAGTTGTATGGAGTCCACAATACCTAGATACTAGTTACAGGTACTTCAATTTTCAATGTAAATTTTGCGTGCATGCTCTAATTGTGTATATGCGGAGTACTTGTCATGGGTAATATAGGTGAAGATCTTTTGTTATGTTGACACCTCCAACATTAAGATAGACTTATCTAAGTAACTGCTTGGAGACATGTTTCAGTACCTATATCTGTATCCATTTTTTTGGGATATTTTATTTCTGTAGTCATTTGTCAGTGCAAAACCTATTCAGAATTCTACAATGATCTCTCTTTAACTTTTCTTCCCCCCCCTATCTGCAGGTTAAGAGATACTATTGTGTATATCATGAGATTGTTCATCAAGAGGGTATTGCTTTAACCTACAAACATAAATTTCATCATTATGTACACTTGGCATTACTGACATTGCTACTTATTTTGCATATAAAGTTGATACTCATCTACTACAGTAGAAGTAAACAGTTTGTGTTACCACTTACAAGTTACCACTACCTTTCAAGAGGCACTTCATGTCCTCGTATTAAAATATATCACATATTTATTGCTCATAAATATTTGAAATGAGATTTACATTTCTCTGATATATTGTGACATGTGTTACCTGTAATACTTAATTTCTAAAGTTCCACAGTAAAAACTGTTTTCTGACTGTACATTCGTATGAAATTACGTTAAATTTTGGTACATTACAAGAAGAAATATTGTCTGCTTCTGTTAAGTTTTGGGCAAAACTTTAAATCTATTTCTTGGTGGAGATTTTCCACCTTGCTGTAATACCTGAGTTTGAATTTAATAAAATTTCTCTTTATTGATAAAAAAAAGTGTGTGCTTCTGAAATATAAAGAGAAAGTGATAGTTGAAAGTGTTAGGGTTGATAGAAGCAAAAATGAGGTACACTCTTTCCATGATCCTCTCATGCACTGATGATTCCTTCACATGTGATCATTAATTCTTTATTGTACATTGCAAGAAAAAATAGTGCCTATATCTGAAATAAGGAGAGATGTAGCTGAATCACCTAAATTAGAGGATGATCATTAGGATTGGTAGAATTAAGCAAAAAAGGGGAAAATTGTTGCCATGGTCGTTCTTAGTTCATCTTAGATGAGAGTCATGAGACTAATATATTCCTTTCCCATAATTTGATAAATAACCCTAGTGGAATGAAGAGGCTGCTTTTGGCATTTCCTCCATCCCCAAGGGAGGGAGGGAGGGTGGGAGTATTTTCCTTTGCCAAATGATGACTTCTGAGCAACCCTGAGGCCTTATTTATTGAAGAATCTCGCAGGTGTTCTTCAAATGGATTAGCTTCCCACAGATGGAGTTCATTGTTGAGAGCTGTTTTATTGTTAACAAGGGTATTTATGTCATTGTTGTTAAGCTAGTAAGGAGGCACCTAATTAAGGGCATTTATCTCATAATCATATAGATACCAATAATAAGGATTAGTGAAGCATGTTAGACACCCTATTCTTCCATCTTTTCTTCCCTCTCTTTAGTTCTTCTTTGTTCTTTCTCTCTTAATCTTTTACAATTTCCAAACAGATTTAAGCCTAAATATTACAAGTTGGTATCAGGGCTTACTCCCTTGGGACCAGATACTCTTTTGACTGTTGATGTCTTCATTGCTGGTAGCTGACATTAGCAGGCCATATGATCAGCCAGTGCCAGTGAGGGAGATACCAGTAAAACTGGGTCGGGCTTGATTTTAGAAGACTTTTGGTGCATGTTTGAGGGGCATCTGAATCAGATTTGATATTTTTCAGAACTAAATCATTTCTTCTAGTCGTTTTAGTTTCTCACAGGTGTTGGTCTTCAAATGGAGATCTCCACAAATGGTGAGTTCATGATCTACAAATAAACTATTTCTGTAGTCTGTTTCTCCTTCATTATATTGATGCTTTTCCAAAATGGTATAGGGATTAGGGAAGTTCAAAGGTGATAGTTTATGCACCTGGGTGTAGGTTGGGTGGAAATTTTGTGGATCAGGTGTTCTTATTCCAATAGATGTATGAAAATATGACCTGATGATTATGATACTTGTTTTATTGTGGGTTAGGAACTCGTGAAGGTGGCAGTGGGTGTAGGGAAAAGTTTGGGTTATGCATTTGGAGTTGCATCCCCTTGGCAGTGTGCTGGGAGGTTTGGAAGGAAAGAAACCAAAGAATTTTTGAAGGGAAATTGAAAAGCAATGAGGAATTAGGGGCATTAATCAGTTCAAAGGCCTTAGCAAAGAAGACTTTGGAGTGGAATTATGGAGAATCTTGAATGTTTAAGTTGCTATTTGTATTCTGATAGAGTTCAGATCATTGTTTTGATTGTATCCTTTTTGGTTTTCAGTTTTATTTTTTATTTTTTTTTTATTTTTTGATGATTGGTGACTCCTTGTCGCCTAGAAGTTGTACCTTTCTTTTGTTTTTTTCAAAATTTCAATAAAATTTCTTCTTTATTTATCTTCAAAAGAAAGTTGCAATGGGCTCAGAGAAAAGTTTAGGATATCTTTTTTGGGCTAATAGAAGGGGGTTGAGGACTTGTAAACTAAAGGTGCTGAGCTTAGGTAAAAGTTTAGGTTACACTTTAGCGCTAATAGAGGGGGGTGCAGTTGGTTGTGAAGGGCTTCTTGGCATGAACTTGGTAAACTGTAGAGTTCTTTTGGGGCTTGGAAATTTCGGAATTCAAGGGAGTAGGTCAAGTAATGGAATTTTTATGAGATTTTGCATGAAAGTTCGGAATGGAGAATGATAAGAACAGCCAATTTTGGTAGGGATTTTAGTAGGTCTTGCACAAAAGGTTAAAAACAATCAAAACAGGAAAATTTGGGAAACTAGGGTAGAGGTGTAATTTTTCAATGACTGTTGTAGAGGATGGCCTTTTTTTGTTATAACAGTAGACAGTAGTGAGAAGTGATCTGTTACAAGGGTCTAGAAGAACTAGGGGCAGACCAAAAAGGACATGGATTGGAGCAGTGGGAAATGATACAAGGGACCATAATTTAACATTGGTTATGGCACTGAATGGAGTGGAATGGCAGAAAAGATTCATATGGCTAACCCCATATGGTTGGGACAAGGCTTAATTGAGTTGGGTTGTTTTAGAAAAATATCTTATTGTAGAAAAATGTGAATAGTCAATTTGATCCTTGTAGACCACATCAAATCGTGTGATTTCATATATCAAATATATTGTTTTGATGCCTGGGTCAAAAGTTATGGCCTGTGAAAGTTATAGGCCATTTTCTTTTCGTTTCAGTATAATTATTTTGATCCAATTCCAAATGCTCTAGGAAGTAAAAAAAAAATCTCATTTTATGTGGTGCTGCATCCAAGGAAGAATTACTTGCTCACTTTGAGAACTTCACCTTTGTGTAGATGTTTGTCATCTTGTAGATGGGGAAGTAGATCCTGACATGTTTTGGCAAAACTCATGCCCAATTTCCACAATATCTCTGGTCGTACAAAGAAGTGGAAACTCTAGCTTATACTTCATTGAGTCAGGGTCCTGGGTAAATCTTGTTCCTTGTGCTTGATAATTCTGGCATCCTTTTCATTCCAAGCACCCCAAAGAACTGCTGCTTTAGTACATTTCCACATTTATCTTATCTCATGTAGGAGGGAGGAAGTCAAATATTTGAAAAACAGACAATGCTATTAGGGAATTACCAAGAAGCTATGAAAAGAGGGAAAATCTGTTTTGTAAGAACAAGAGAGGAATGAATGATTGCATTATCACTATTGTTGAAACAAGATGGTACATGTTGGAGAGATTTTCCATTTTCATTAGAGGACCTCATCCTCGATGGTATTTGATTGTCTTCGGAGTTGCTTTCTAGTATAATGCTTCGATTTCTTGTTGAATAGGACCATTTCAAAGGGAATTAACTGGAAAGAGAAGGGGACTAGGGGATTTATCATGGCTTTTATGAAAGGATAAGCAAGAGAACTGCCCCACAGGATCTGTTTCACACTAGAGTCAAGACCTAGTAGAAAAAAAATTTTAAGGCAAGTAATGAGGGAAACAACCTCATCACCTCCTCATGGTATGTAAGTCCCCATTTCTCCACCAATTTGTTGATGGTGTTTCCTGCATTCCCCCATAATCTGTAAGAGTTTGTCAAAATTAAGGCCAACTTTCATTGATAAAAAAAAAGGCTAACTTGCAGTCAGACATGCCCTGTTCTTGCAATGATTCAGTGCCCTGCATTTCTGCAGTTCTGAAGGATTCATTCAGAAGTTTGTAGCATGTAGATGAACAGAGTTTGTTTTCTTTTGCCATTACTGTGAAACCAGCCACAGATAATATACGTGTTTGCTCATTGTCATGATGCTCCGTTATTTCATTGTAAAAGGAGCAGAAAAGTTTGTACTCTGAAATATTAAGTTATAGTTCTGCCTCTCATGGCTGTAACTTTGTTTCCACTCATTTGACAATGAAACAGATGTAGCATAGACAATCTGACTTTTATACACTGTCAAATGGAGTGCAGTTATCTGGAAGATGTTTTATATTTGATCATTTATTGTTATCATTTGGGATCTATCCAAATTTTTAGCTTTACCTTGTTCATTACAGAAGTTTATTTACTATGGTTGGCTCTTGTCACAGGCTGGTGAGAAAAGGAAAGGGAGGAAGAAGGGACTATTCTTTCACAAGTAGGGAGTTTTCTTTTCTTCCTTTTTTTTTAAAAAAAAAATTTTGATGGGTATTTATTGTAAATTAGTTCTGGTTCCAGATTTTTTCTAGTTTGCTTGTACATGATTTGTAAGAATCAAAAGAAATTCTTTGAGAAAGATGAGATGAAAGTTTCAGTTGAGTCCACTCTTCCCTATTGCCATATTACTCATCATGTACAGGCTTCCAGTATGTGAAAAAGGCCATGATACTCATACTCTATATGTTCATTTTTAAAGCTGTTGTCTGTTGCTAATCCACTATTCTTTTGAATTATTTCACATTTTGTCTATTGGGGCTGTTGTTTTAGGGGGCAGGAGGTATCTGCAGACCTGTCTATGAAGTAAAGTTTTACCTTTAAGGCTGTGTTTTGTTTGAAACAAAAGGTAGGTTTCCCTACCTTTCCCAACCTTTTCTTTCAAACCAAACACAACTTAAATATCATAGAATATTTTGAGACATTTTCCCTGCAGAAATAAAAAAATTCACGACAATAATATGGGAATCTACGTGATCAAAGGATGAAATTGTATCAAATCTACGTGTAGCCTCAGTTAAAGCGGTTCGGGTCGAATTCCATGATTAGCCCCAAACCCTATGGTTTCTATCAGAAGTAGTGATACTGGAAGTCTGTAACAACATCGATATATATCGTCTTCGTGAATGTAGGTGGCTTATGTAGGGCTGCAAACGGAGGATCACATAAACTGGATATGCCTAGATTATGGATTCAAATTTGACTCTTCATCCATTGGATGTTTTATGTCGGATTTGGGTTGCAACCAACCCGTCCCGCAAGTGTGGCTCCCAGCCAACCCATGCGATGACTGAAAGCACACTTGTCACTTGTGGGCCAGTTGTCGTATGCTGATTGTGTGCTTATTCAGCGTGTTTGACTATCACTACGGGCTACGGCTCAACCAGATCTATCTCGTATCACTTCTTATTTTTGTTAAATTTTAGGGTAAATTGTTGAAACCTTCCATGAAGTTTCCCGCTGAAGTTTGAAGCTTGAAGTTTGGTAATTGCAATAACTTCCTCTGAACTTTTTGTTATAATTGCAAGTAGACCTCCTTGGAGGCATGAAAATGTCTAAAATACCTCGGCAGTTGCCTTTGACCAAAAAGTTTATTTTTTAAATTGTCTCTTCATATGAATTGCTAGCCAAAGCCTTTCAATGATTCGATCTCTTTTTTTTTTTAATTGATTTATTTTTCAAATTTATCCTTAATATCAATCACTCAAAGGAAAAGCTGCAAGCTTGCAATTTAATTTTTTTTTTTCTGTTGCTTATAAAGTTTGTATTGTTTTTTCTATAGAAATCAGCCTCAGTACTAACTGCATGGACATTTTTGACATTTTCATGCTGCTTCTTAGAGGATTTTAACAGAAAGGGTTTACTTGCAACTGTGTCAGCAAGTTCAGGAGTGGTGATTGTAATTATCGAACTTCAGGGAAGGTTTCAGAAACAATCAGAAACTTCAAGAGAGGTTTCCACAAATTTTCCTAAATTTTAAATATCATCTATTTGGTTTATTAGAAATTATTTAATATTATCTTATAATATTGCACATAGTATATCTTTAAATACTATATCTATATATGCCATAATCATATTATACTATATTAGGAAGTTATGCGGGACTTTTGTGGTCAATGGCAATATTGTTAAGGGACAACATTGTCCCAAATGACTGCTTAGTGCTAAATGTATTTAGGAAGGAAACCAGCTTTGAGAAATTATGAGGAATTTAAAAAATGTAGATGTTTGATTCTTCACTGAACGACCAACGGGAGAGGTAATAATGTTCACTGTCAAAGACGTGTTCGGATTCAAATCTCCTACTCACACATCACTACAGCTGCACATTCCCAATGTACAGTTATAGTATCCTGTAAGTAGGATTCTTGTGGTAGGAGATCCGAATCGGTAGAAAACAACCTAGCGATGCCTATCAAAGAAAGAAAGATGTATGGCACAATTTGCAGCAACGACAGTTGTCGTGATAATAGAGCTGACTAGCTGAGTGGTTGGGGATGGAGCGATAAGCCGATAAACATGGCTTATGCAAATAGAATTTGTAAAGGCCCTAGCCAGGACCCAGCCGCTTGGCAGGTTGGAGCTAATTTGTAGGCCTGACTTATTTGAAGAGCTGAGTTGGCCCAGATCAACCCGGTTGGTTTCGCTTTCGCTATGGAACCAAAATTGCTTAAAATCCATGGTTGAAAGTTGAAACGAAACATCTGTCATTGTATTAAATCGACTTCACCAACGATCTGAGATCCAAATGATGAAACTTGTAATTGTTTATTATCGCAGTAGTGGGAAATATTAGCACTAAAATTCGGTGTTTATTTTGTTTTGTAGGTGGTCTCTGATCTCGGATCGAACGCCATGCCTAACTGACACTCAGGAACAGAACCAGGGGAACACTCATTTGAGCAAGAAGTTCCGCATCGGAAAGGAAAAGAATCAAAAGATCAAAGTTGGTGTCTCCTCGTCACAGTCACTAAGACTCTCACGAAAGACAAGCAATGAAGCGGGGGAAGTTCCCAGACTCACTAGTTCGATTTCTAATCTTCCAATTTGTAAGATCAATGTTCAGGCTGCCGGACCCAAAGTGAATGCAGACTTTCAAAGATCAACAAGAGCCGGCTATGAGTGAGTGTTATGAATGTTGTTTTTGGTTTTTTACTGAGTTGAGCTTAACTTGATCTTTCATTACTCGGTTGGCGAACTGTGAAATGGGATAACGGGTGGGCATATGTGTGTCAACTTGTCCAATTTCAAGTTCTTTTTTGTTTTCTGCAACTTATTTAAGTCCTTTGGCAGAGAAAAACTCAATTCGATTCAGCCAAACGAATCTTGCCCTGTCATTATTCTGTCGGAGAAAAACCCAACTCAATTCAGATTTCTAACAGACTGAATGGTCTTCATTCCTATGTAGTCCTTGAAAGCTATTAGCTTAGTATGTCTTGAAGCTGAGAAGAAAAACCAAGGGGAAATCTTTCTTAATGTTTTATTTATTGGTTGAGATCTGGGGGGATATACGCCCTCCACTTGGGATTGAATTGTTTATTGTTTTTCATTTTCTTCAGTTATGTCTGTGTGGATCTTGATGATTCTTTAAGTGTTGATTGGCTTACTTATGTTGCTGAATATTGGCATCATTTTAACAAGGATAAAGAGATTTTTAGCAACTAAAATTAATTCTTTAAGAAGTATAAACTTCTTATGATCTCTATCTTAGTTCAATGTAATCCGTGCGTTCTCTTCATCTCTTGCTAGGACCGGACGGCTTGGGTTTCCTAGTATAAGTTCTTTAAGTTGATATAAGGAGATCCCTACATGGAAGAAATAGAAGATGGTCTTTGTTTCTCATTCTTATTTTTTAATCAAATCATCCATAGATTTAGAGAAGAGTAGTGGAATAAAAGAAAAGTCTATAAGACATTTATTGTTGTAATGAATGAGTGGCAAGACAAGAAAATGATAGAATTGAAAATGACAAATTAACTCTTCATATAAGAAACAATTATGCACAGAAACAAACATATTAACTTAATGAGACAGAATAGAAGAACAGTCATGAGATAACATATCTAAAAAGTGCTCCAAGATAAAGTTCTACCTTCTGCATATACAGTATAAAATGGAGGACAAAATTTCAGTTACAGCTTGGTGGTTTTAAGCACTTATATACAGCTGAGGCAGGTTGCTTGTAGTCAGGTATGCTCTTGGCATCTACAAATCTGACTTCACCAGGTCCAAAAGAAAGATCCCTATGCCTGTAAAAAAATATCAATGGCAACAAACCATAATAACATTGCCTCATCATAGCCAAACTGGTAATGATTCTGTGTTATTGGAGAGAATGGATGTTGATATAGATTTTATGTTTACCTGCGAAGGTCGAGACCAACCAAACCAGCTTGTAGGACAGTCAGGTTGTCGGAATCCGGCGAGACAATAATAACTGTATCCCCAGAATACTGTGTTTCAAGAATTGACATGAGTTGTGTCACACGAACAAATACATCTGAGACACTTTCATTAGGAGTTCCATCATCGATAGGAGGTGGTTTGATGCTCGAAGAAATGCCATCAGATGCATAGACCTGAATAAGTTTGGTAAGAAAAACTAATTTAGGTTAGAATAAAGAAACTTATTTCAGAATGGCAACATGATACAGGTTGACTATGCCCAGCTGGCTGTACAAGGATGCTACTTGACATAAGAAAGTAAGAAACTTCTGTATTCATAGTTGTTCAATTGTTCTTGTTCTGCAGAAAGCATTTATTAGCATCAAGTAAATAAACTTTGGAGAACCATTATCAGTTGTAAGGTATCTGTAATAGTGTAAGGCCCTTAAAACGCCAGGGCATTTTGAAGAAAAAAATACAAAAAACAATGAAAGAAAAGTAGATCATCTTTCTCTTCATTCCCTTCTCCTTTCCTCGTCTATTGAATATGGGAAGATTTAACTCATGATGTAACTTTCTTTTCTTTTTTTTTTATTTTTTCGGTAATCAAACTCATGACGCAAGTTGGTATTGAAAAGAAGGATCCCTCTCTGATAGAGCATACATTGAATTCTCTAAAGTGGGGTATCAAGAAAAGGATCAGTACAAGTTTCCGCCATGAACTGCTTGAGGCCTGAGATCCCTGAAGTTGTGGTAGCTGATCTTCTATGAGGGTAGCATTGTACTAAGCCTTAACCAGCAACTCAGAAACTCAGACTTCATTGTTTGGTTACGACTATGAATGAGAGGACCTAATTAATTGAGCTCTTGCTACAGAGTGTGTGTGTTGGTGGCTTGGCGCGAAGTGTTGAGGAAGTGCTAGAGGACTTGCTTGACAACCAAAAATCATTTTCTTCAAAGTTAACAGTATTCATAGATTGCTTAAGAACAAACATGTTCATTCAATTAAAAACAGTATAATCTCATCACATAATTAAAAAAAGAAAAAGAAGTTGATATAGATCCTACCTCAGAAAGGGAGTCCAAGCTCTTGCCTTCATAAGCTCCCAAGCCACGAGCATCCAAAAAGCTGTACTCGGGGACTATGTGGCTGCGACATTTACCAAGGAAATAAACGAAATAACACAAGAAACTGATCAAACAACTCACACAAATTGTCTTCATAAAGCTGTACAGGGGCGCTATTGTTCTTCATAGAAAGAAAACATAAAAGAGAAGAGGAAATAGTGATGTCGATTTTGTTGGACTATACTCTGCTTCCAAATTAGTTCAATGTGATGGGAGAAAGTCAGAAAACCTTTTACAGTTTTATTGGGAAAAGAAAAGGATGAATGGGGTGAGTAAAAGATTCACACCCAATTCACACCCCTGGAAAAGTGTATCTACCTCCGATCGATCCCATTAACTGCGGCAATGACCTCTGCAGCCTGSTAAGCTCTCTGGGTGATGGAAGGCCAAATCCAGCAATTTCCACTGCAAGCTCCCATCTCCTTCAATGCGAGGGCCGCTCTCACCGTCTGTTTCTTCCCTAGTTCCGAGAGCCCGCTGTCCACGGACGTCTTTGCTACTGGGTTCGTGTTGATTATGCCAAGCCTTTCGAATTCTGACTCCCCAGATCGAACTAGAAAGTATCTTTTTTCCCCAAGACAACGAGAAGACGAACAGAGATCGAATTAGTTCAAGTTTCCTCCATAATTGCAAATAGGAGAATTGATGGCTTTAAAATTACCGATTGTTGAGACGAACCGGAGGCATTTGGAAGAGGCCTCGGGCCGCTGCTGTCCGTGCCGAGAGGATGCGTGGAGTTTCAAACGGGGAGGGAGTGAAGAAAGGAGTGACAGAGATGGTCAGGGAAATGAGGAGAGAGCGGCGGTCGATGGGTTTCAGAAGGAAGTTAAGATTTGTACRATTTAAAGGAGGAGGAAGATATGGAGATGGAGGAAGTTTTGCAGCTGATGATGAGGCCCTCGGCATTATTCTACAGAAACGGCTTCAGTCACAACGGTCGCCAACTGAACTCTGACCTCCGAGCCCAACCGTTTTTTCGGGCTGAGAGATGGGCAAGGATAAAAGAGAGAGAAAACGGATGTATGGTCTGGTACCTCAGTCTCACTCACACTCCTTCGCCGCAGTAAGAGGGGGAATGCTAGCGCTACGGTCCATAAACGGCCATAGGCCCACAGCTGCAAAACGGGTCTGACTATAATTCGAATCAAATCAGGTCCATCCACGTACAAAATCTGATTCAATCATCAATTAAGATTTTAAGAAAAAGCTAGAAAATAGAAATAACAACTCTTTAATTTATACACGTACAAAATATAAAATACGAAATTCGTTAATTATATAGTTGGATTCGAATCTTAATGAGATTGGATCTCAGATCAGTGGTCCGGTTGGTACACTGGGTTTGGTTTTGTACATGGCTCATTATGGTCTGACTCGGGTGTAGGCATATTAGCTCTGATTTATTTGGTGGGTCCAGGTCTGGAACCACATCTAAAAGGTCTGGGCACCAACCCGAGAGGATGTGGAACCATAACCAATGCATATAATAGGTTTTTTTTTTTTGGGTAAAGATGCATATAATAGGGTCTGGGTCCGCGAATACATGGATTCCACTCGGACCGACCCATTGACATACGGATAGTCCGAGAGACCCAGACCCTTTCTTCATACCAACCCGTTAGTCCGTTACCCAGAACCCTGGGCCTGGTGTGCGTGTCTAGTGATTTCCCTCCCGCTCGCTCAAGTCTGTCACGTTTATGGCACGTGACTTGCGCTTCGCTGCCATCAGATTTCTGATATTTTTTAATAGAAGAATTTAAAAGGGTTTTTCACTCTTTGCAGAACCCATTTTTGCCTCGCATAGTAGCAACAACTCGGGAAACCCTACGAAGAACCGCTCTTATTGATCTTGTTTAGGGTTTACAATCTCTACGATCTCCAATCATGCACGCACCAGTACTCGTTCTTAGTAAGTTCTGAACTGCTCTTCTTCTTCTTCTTCGGATAGTCCTCAATCGCTCTTCTTGTTCTCCATTACATTGTCACCGGATCACGGAGTTATATCTTTTTTACTCTCTCTATCTGTGTGCGTATGTGTCATCTGTGTATGTTATAGTTGTTTCTCTGTAGCTTCGTCTGCTTAACTTCGATCTGTTTTTGATAAGAAAACTAGATACAAAATTTTTGAACACGATGTGTTGGTTTGGTGAAAAGAGATTCCACGAATGGTCTATTGTAATGCCCGTGCAAGTTACTTTTTATGTGCCAATCGCTTGATCTGGCATAAAATATTTTGACAAGGTATTCTAAATTAAGTGGACATTTAGGCTGCATTTGGCATTCCTTATTTTAAGGACTTATCTCCTATTTGCTGCTAAAAACTCTGGGGCATTTTAACTACAAAAAGGAGATGAGTCCTTAAAATAAGGAATGCCAAATGCAGCCTTAATAGAAAAACGTTGCAACTTAATCTGTAGGCTATAGCTACCTTTTAGGTCAATACTTTGCTTACTTGTCTCACAAACTGTCCATATGAAGTAGCTTTAGGCCATAAGTTTTTCCTCCGAGGACTTATACCAAGTGGTTTTAGTTATAATCGTGGTGTAAGGAGTTTTCGTAATCTTAATTTGGGAATTTGGTGTGTAATTGGAGATAAAAGTTTATTATTATTATTATTATTTTGTTTCGAAAACTTGGATTTTAAGAAGCTGGAATAGTCCATACCCATGCTTGTCATGAATGCATCACATCTCTTGATTCACTAAATTGAATAGAGTTTCTTGAAAGTTTATTCCATCCATATAGATGTGATATTCCAGTAGATGGTGTGATTCCATCTTTGGTTGTCTAGGGTGGCAAACTTCCTCTGTAATGTTGGTTGAGTGAGATGAGCTATACTTCATTATTTTGCTTCTGATTGCTCTGCCCTTATTTTAGCTTTTAAAAGGCTAAAGGTGTATTTCAGGCAGTTGACCTTGTGCTTGGAGGAGAAGAATAACCATTAGCAGAGTTTTCAAGAATAGTTCATACAAATCATGTAACTGAAGAGGTAAACTAAACAAGATACTAATAAAATAAGATCCAAAATATATTTAATAGGCATTGAAAGCATTTAAATATAAACACAATACTAATATAATCTAGTATCTATTAACATCCATCTCCTTCTTTGCCTTTTTTCAGTCTTCCTATTGCAGTACAATCAAATTTATGACAATAAAGAAGAATTTTGAACCGAAAATATAGAACAAGGTAATGTAGGTTCAAGGTATGAAGCACGCATTATATGTACACTAATGTACATTTTAAATACATCTCTACTTTCAAGGCTATCCATCAAAAAAGAAAAAAACAGAAAATATAGATTATAGAGCAAGGGAGTAATTGAGTAGATCTATAGCACTTATTCATGAAACACACATTATATGTACACTAATGTACATTTGAAAAATGTTCCTATTTTCAACCAAATAATTGCATGTGAAATGTTGCTATAAATTATTGATTTCGCAAAAAAATTTTAACTGGAAACCCCCATATAGAGATGAGGTCAAGATCAACTTTGATGAATCGAGAAGATAGAATGGTAGAATTGAAGTGGTAGCAAGACATTATGTGGGAAAGGTTCTATTTACCCAGTGTTTTAAAACTGCAAGGTGCAAAAAAAGCGTAGGGGTCAATTTGCACCTGAGGCGCAAGGCACAAGGCCCAAGGCGAGGCCTGCGTCTTTTTAAGCAAGGCGCAATAATAAAAAACGGCTAAAAATCAAAAGTAAATGCAAAAAATTATTAAACATAATATTAATAAAAATATAAACTTTAATTTTAAAATAAATGTTTTAAAAAACCTATTATCTAATATTAAAATACATAAATATAACATGTAAAGCATATTCAAATGAGAATTTAAAAATAAAATCAAATATATAAAACATTTTCAAGCATATAAAACCCACAATCTCTTTTTTCTCAATTGCACTAATTCAAATAGCTAATGTGATGTAAAACATATTACATTCCTGATTCTCCAAGCCGCCTTTGTACCACACCCCTCGAGGCAAGCCCAAACAAGGCCACATTAGGTCTTAAATTCTTAGTTCTCACACAAAAAATAATGATTTTATAGTTTTAATTGCTTTTTAAGGAGACATTTTATTAGGATGAATGAGTGAACAACATTACCAAATAGGGAGTTCTGCTCCGCTCTGGTTCGCTCGCTTCACTCGCTCACCGAAGCTTCGAGAACCCCCTATTTGGTAATGTTCATTCATCCGAATAAAATGTCTTCTTAAAAAGCAATTAAAACTATAAAATCATTTTTTTTTTTGTGTGAGAACTAAGAATTTAAGACCTAATGTGGACTTGTTTAGGCTTGCCTCGAGGGGTGTGGCACGGGGGTCCAGGGGCGGAGCCCTTGGCCTAGTTGCTAGACACAAAAAGAGCAAAAAGGCATCAAAGTTTCAAAAGGCGCACGCCTAGGCACACCAGGTGTGTGCCTTTTGAAAGGGTTGTGCCTAGGACCTGGGTGAGGCTCCTACCCTGAAATGCGCATCGCCTATGCACCTAGACACGCCTTTTAAATCACTCTATTTACCATTTGCAAGAATGTTGGATTGTGCTCTATTAATGTGGAGGCCTGGGTGGCGTTGCAAGTCCACTTTGTTGCAACTTGTGAGGAGGTTCAGTCTAAATTGTATCATTGTTTATGGAGATTTGAGACTAGTTATTAATGGAAGGGAATTGAGGACCCACCTTGGAATATTAAGAATATCCTAGAAGAGTGCCCGGTTGTTTGTCAAGACTCTTGTTTAACTGTTACTTACATGCTTGCTTTTAGAGAAGCCACCATTGTGGCTGATTGGTTGGAAAGTCAAGGTCATACATGCATGTTGCCTCTCCAGTCTTTCTAGACTGGCATCTCAATTATCTGTGTTTCTGTGATGCTTGGGGAAGGGCTACCCCCGTTTTGGGATAGGTTTGGAGGAAATATGATATCAGTAGCATTTGAGTACTAGTTGTTTTTATCATTTTATTTTCTAAGGTATAAAGGGGAAGGATCTGTGTAACAAGGTCTAAACAAAATAGTTGTCATGCTACAGTACTCAAATATGGTGATAGCAATTTAATGGAAAACAGGGACTAAGTCAATCTAATTAAAGAATGGTTAAGTGTGTATTCTAGTTACCATTCATTATTAGATCTCTAAGTCTACAAGGCATTTGTTTCTTGCATCTTTTCCATTCCTTTTCACTGGGGACCTATTTTCCTTATATGTCTTTTGATTAGTGTTATGTAAGGAGGCCTTCTTATTTATGCTCACTATTGGAAACTTTAAACTTCCTGAAGTTCTATTTGTGGTTCCATCAATTATTTCAAAGCATATTTATGGAGTTTTATTAATTGATAACCTTGCGGCATGTGTAATTTGAATGAGCAGAAGACTCATTAAAGCGGGAATCTGGAAGTAAGGTGCACCATGCTAATATCCAAGCATCAAAGGTGAGATTAAACTAGTTTCATACAACATAATGCCTTTTTTGTTGTGTAGTGTAACTTGTTGGTTTTTGTGTATTTTAGATCCACTCTGCATCTGATGTACATTTGGAGTAGAAAGTTTGTGCATTATCTGAAAAGCTTCTTTATCCATTATCTTGTTGATTATAATCTTCCTAAATTTGTATGGAGAGATTTTTGTAAAATTTCCTCAAACCAGTTGATTAGATTCTATGGTGTGGGGCTTCAGGCAGGGGAGGGCACCTTGAGAAAAAAATATAAAACAGGCAAAATTTAAGTCCTGAAAAAAGTGGAAAAAGGGAAATTAGTTGACTAAGATGAAAAATGGAAACTATGAACTTCATCAACTAGAACTCATCTGAAGATAGAATTAAATTTTAAAGCAACTTAGGTATTTTAAGTTTATATGAGGGAAAAACTTGAAATACTTTGCTAGGATCTTAACAAGTTAACACACACTTGGAAAGTGTAACATTACATATAGACCTGGCAAAAAGTTGACCCAACCCAACCCGAAAAAATAGGGTTAGGACCTCATATTTAGTAACCCGAATGTGAAAATGACCCGACCCAAAAAACTGGGTTGGGTTGGGTCATGGGTCAACCCGCTGACCTGATTGTCAAGTCTAATTGGGATTATTTATGCATTGTTAGAAATTTCCACTCTTTAATTTTTTCTGTTTAGTCTTTACTTTTTATTGTTTACTCTTTAAATTGTTAAATGTTCAAGTTTTTATTTTATATTTGGAATTTTAAGGTTAATTCTTTTAATTTTGACATTTTTCATGTATTTTTTTTGTATTTCAATTATTTTTTGGGATGACCCGAATTGACCCATGGGTCAACCCTAACCCTTACATTTAGGGTTAGGGTCTAGCATTTGACAACCGAACCCGAACCCGACCCACCCAACCCGATTGCCAGGTCTAATTACATATGAGTTAATGCTCACTTTTGAGCATGTAGAGGTGGAAGGTGATTCTCAGGTTGTGACATTCTCTTGGAGAGGCTAGAGCCTTGGCTTTCAAAGGGAATCTCGTTCAGTTAGATCCCTAAGTCCATCAATTTGTTGCCAGATAGACTTTTTGGATAAGGCGGTGGGAAATCTGAGTTGAATTGTGGGAATTTGGTAGTTCGGGTTGCTGTATGATACTGCTATCCTATAGCTGTACCAGTTTTGGTCACCTTCTTGAGTCTCTTTGGTATTGCCTCTATATTATGAAAGGTCATGCTTGTATCTTGCTCTGTTCTTTTTAATACATATTTTACTTGTTAACTTGTTATAAATGAGCAAAACAACACAGGCCACTGGATGGTTAAAACTAAGAAGGAAATTGTATATAAAGACAATTCTGGTAAAAATAATGATGTATAGACAACTCAAAGAAGATTAGCATACTTAGTTTTCACATACTGCGCTTAATGTTTCATGGACTCTCCTAAATGCTTTAGTGTGTATACCAGAAACTCATCAGATTCCAACACACCATGGATACTTTATGACACTTATGTGTAGCATTTTCCTTTTCTCTCCTTCATTATTTCAAAAAGTGAAAATCTAGTGCACATGATAAATGGCATTTTTCCTATAGAATGTTTCTTTAGTAACAAATAGAAACTTTTAGACATTTTCTATGGGTATATGATGTCAGAATTTAAAAATACGGACTGCTTCAATAGCATCTACTTTTCTGTACACTTTGTCTGTGTGCCTATGTTTTTTCATCTTACTGAGTCAGATTCCCTGACATACATGAGATTATGATTCCTATATTCATGCCCATGCAACACTCATTTATATAGAGTTTTCTATGTTACAAAAATTAAAACAATAAAAAGTTTTACCTGTCAAGTTCCCTATGCTCTTTTTGTCGGTATGCCAAATCCGAAATCTTCTACCAGTGTCAGAATCTAGAATTGACATTTCCTATCTTTGTAAAGTAGCTGAGAACATTTAACTCCATGCTAATATTTTAAAATCTTAAATCGTGTATTCTAGATGGGCTGAGCTTCTGATTATTTCATTACTATGTGGTCCATTGAATTTAATTATTGAATCATGCCTTCTGTGTAATCCGTTGCAGGCTGTGGCTGACATAATTCGAACTACTTTGGGTCCACGATCCATGTTGAAGATGTTGCTTGATGCTGGGGGAGGTGCTCTTTTTCCTTGTTGATGCATGAATTTTTCCCATTCCTATTGTAAATGAACATGGACTTATTGATGAAAAAAAGTAAAATTGACAAGGCTAAATTATTAGGCAAGACAGTATGTTTTAACCTTGTTCCACTATATATCAACTTCTATTTTAAGGATTATCCATTTGAACCTGTGAATATCAATGTACCTCCATTCTTTCAACTGATTCTGAGAGGCTTCATTTCCCCATAGTCTTTTGCATCCAACATTTTGTGACAGTTAGGTTCAGTTTGGAAAGAACACAAATACATACAATATAATACAAACTACAAGGTTTTGCACTCTACATATTTGCATTTGTGCTCCTTCCAAACTGAGCCTTACTGTTCCATTTTCTTTTCGTGTGATATTAGTTCTTTATTTTCTTCTTGACTTCTTCTATTTGATATAGATAACTGAGATGGCTTTTCTGGTTGCTAACAGGAATTGTGGTCACCAATGATGGGAATGCTATTCTACGTGAGTTGGATCTTGCCCACCCAGCAGCTAAGGCATGGTTTCTCTGTCTCTTACCACAATTGAAATGAAAATCATTTATGCCTGCTGATTATTGTTGTTGTTTTTACAATTTTTACTATTGCTGTTGTTTTTTTCTTTCCTGTTGAATTAATTGTGCATTTGTGTTATTTAGGTTTATGCAACCAATTCCAGCTCCTGACTCTGTCTTATTGCCTTAAATTTACTTCTTTGCTCATTTTTAACAAGTTTTGTGTGATGTTGCAGTCCATGATTGAACTAAGCCGTACACAAGATGAAGAAGTAGGAGATGGAACAACATCTGTCATTGTTCTTGGTATGCTTTGGGCTTACAACTTGTTATACCTTCATACTCCTGTTTATGCAATAATGCCACTGTTATTTTTTCCTCATCTGCTGTGCAAACAAGCAATATAAAAACATGCTATTCCCTTTATGCAAATAAGTTTCTAAGATTATTACCACAGGAAGAGGTAGTGAACTGATTGCTGTAAAAAATAAATTGCTCATTTTTGGGCTACTGATAAACTTCTAACATGAGTCAAGGGATATGGTGATAACACATACTAGATTTTTTATTTGTCCATACCCTTTGGTCGAGCATGCCAGTTTAATAGTCTGTTACCTGAGGGAGGGGATTATTTTCTCTTTCTCAATATAAAGCTTTTCTTTAGCATGATGTCTACGTGTTAATATCCTTGTCACTAATTACCATTTTTTATTTTTGTGAAGCTGGTGAGATGCTACATGTTGCAGAAGCCTTCATTGACAAGAACTATCATCCTACAGTCATTTGCCGAGGTAATATTTTATGCACTTGGTCATGCCTTCTCTAGTTGTAGATTGTATAATCTTTTAATGAATGATTTGATGTGTTCTTCTTGCAGCATACAATAAGGCTCTTGAGGATGCCATTGCTGTTCTTGATAGGATTGCAATATCCATTGATGTCAATGATCGTAAGTTTCTATTGTGTTAGGTTCACATTCTGTCTATTTGAATTGTATCATGTGCTTAATATGCTATTCATGGCATTCTATCATCTTCATCATTCCCTCCCTTCAAGTTCTGAAACTATTCTTGTCCCAACTGATTGTAGTGCTTGCATGTTTTTGTTACCATAGGATCATAGATATTTTCCCCAAATATAATAAAATATTTGCTTTTACAGAAAATAAAATTAAATGGAGCCATGTGTGATAGTAGTATTTCTTACTAAATTTAACAGAAGGATTTTTTTGAGTATGTTCAACATTGTCTATAGAATATGCAGATTCAATTTTGAATGAACAGGGCTTTCATTAATTGAGATTTTATATTTTTTGTTATGGAAATAACATGATTTCACTTGGCAGGTGCGACAATGCTGGGGCTGGTTAAAAGTTGTATAGGCACAAAGTTCACCAGTCAATTTGGGGACCTAATTGCAGTGAGTATTTTATGTAGTCTCTATTGCTGTTGGTGCACCTGATTTTGTAGTTTGGATTCTGCAAATTTGGTCAGACTCAAGTTTGTCACATCATTATACCATTGCTTTACTTTTATTTTCCTTGTTTCTTGTGATATTATTCTGTTGGTGGTTAAACCTTCGTTAACTTTTATATGTTTTTTTCCTCTCTYTTTTTTTGTCTGCTTGATTCTCAGGATTTAGCTCTTGATGCAACCACAACGGTTGGGGTTGACCTGGGCCAGGGGTTGCGAGGGGTAGATATTAAGAAGTATATAAAGGTTGAGAAGGTCCCTGGTGGTCAATTGGAAGATTCCAAGGTTCTTAAAGGGGTTATGATTAACAAAGATGTTATTGCCCCCGGTAAAATGAGAAGAAGGATTGTCAATCCACGCATTATTCTTCTTGATTGCCCTCTTGAATATAAGAAAGGAGAAAACCAAACAAATGCAGAGCTGGCTAAAGAAGAAGATTGGGGGCTCCTACTGAAGATGGAGGAAGAATATATTGAGAACATCTGCATGCAGATACTGAAGTTCAAACCTGATTTAGTAATCACAGAAAAAGGGCTTAGTGATCTGGCATGCCATTATTTGAGTAAGGCTGGAGTAAGTGCGATCAGAAGATTGAGGAAAACAGACAACAACAGGATTGCTAAGGCATGTGGGGCTGTTGTTGTGAACAGACCAGATGAACTACAAGAGTCCGATGTTGGCACTGGAGCTGGACTTTTTGAGGTCAAGAAGATTGGGGATGAATTCTTTGCATTCATTGTTGATTGCAAAGATCCAAAAGCTTGTACTGTTCTTTTAAGAGGTGCCAGTAAGGATCTCCTGAATGAAGTTGAAAGAAACCTGCAGGTATTTGTTGTTTTTTAGCACCTAAAAATACTTGTGTTGACCATGAGGCTATTGTTCTGAAGTACTTCAATCTTGACAGGATGCAATGTCTGTGGCAAGGAATATAATCAAGAATCCAAAACTTGTTCCTGGTGGAGGTGCTACAGAGCTGACTGTATCAGCAACACTGAAGCAGAAGAGTTCATCTATTGAAGGCATTGAAAAGGTAAACTTTTTAACTTGAAAAAGTTTGGGCATGCTCAAAGACTAGTGTGTGAAAGTACAATTATATGGATGCCACGAGAAACTCTATTCCCAATTTAAGATTTGAGATGTAATTTTCCTTAACCATTTAAGTGGTCCTTCTATTTTTTGTCTTTTTGATTTCACAGTGGCCCTATGAAGCTGCTGCAGTAGCTTTTGAGGCTATTCCACGGACTTTGGCCCAGAACTGTGGGGTGAATGTGATTCGCACCATGACAGCCTTGCAAGGAAAGGTATAAAGCTCTGTTGCTTTGCTCCTAAATGTTGTTCAAGATTTTATGTGGTGTTTCAATGAAGTAAGCAGTGGCTCAAAAAGTGGAAACTTCAAATTTCAAACTTCTCTTTTTGTTTATTTTGTTTCCTTTATTTTTGTCACAGCATGCAAATGGCGAGAATGCATGGGTGGGCATTGATGGGAATACAGGAGCGATTACAGATATGAAAGAGCGGAAGGTATAATAGCTGGCCAATTTGGCTAACCTAACTACATGCCTACATGATGTAAGCGGATCATTTATGTGTGCTCTTTATCTCTTCTTTAGATTTGGGACGCTTACAATGTGAAGGCACAGACATTTAAGACAGCAATTGAAGCTGCTTGCATGCTCCTCAGAATTGATGATATTGTAAGTGGAATTAAGAAGAAGCAAGCTCCTGGAGCTGGGCAAGCTCCGAAGCCCAAAATTGAGGAGGAAGGAGATGCGGACAATGAGCAAATACTCCCCGAGTGAAGATTTCAGAATGATTAGTTACATCGTTTGGCTTGCATTAATGTGGATGATGTGATGCATCTCACTTGTTGAGGGTGCTTGCTGCATTCTGGTTCATGTGCGGGGCTCTCTAAGTTTTGACTAGAAGTTCGAGATCAGATATAAACAATTGTGGGCTTATGCTTGTTCTTACAATTACAAAAATCTTTAAAATTCTCTAACTTCAAATATGAGATTTTCAAGGTTGAAGGATAAGACTAGAGTACTTGCACGTTTTGCTTTACTTAGTTTTTACTTGAAATTTGGTTTTCCAAGAAATTCTAGTTTCGTGGGTTTTGAGAAATACAAGGACAACTGTTTTGTCTATGAGACTGATTCATCTAAAGATATATTTAGATTTTTTTTTGTTTTATCTTATTTTCTTTTTTATTTCTCTCTTTTGCATCTGCTCAGATGTTGAAGGTATTTTCTTACTCAAACCTAGCACCATCCTAACTTTTTGAGGACATAAGTACACGTGAGAATCGGGTGGGAAGTCGGAATTCGGAAAAGAGATTGTAAATTAAGAAAGCTCTGTTCAGCATTTCGGTAATCACCTACTTTTTCACCATCCTTTTTATTTTCCACCTATCCCTTTTTAGGCGATTCAGCACTAGTAAATACTGTTTATGAAGATACGGAAGCCGAATGGAACCTATTAAATCTGAAGGATCATGTTTTGAACCTGCTGATCTCTTTTGATTATATATGTATAAATAATGGGTTCGACTATGATATGGAAAAGATATAATATATGTCAAAAACAATTGACCAATAAATTAGAATCATAAATATGATAGCGAATAAGGTGTTATTTATCAAAAAACAATTTCCCGCCATAAATCATTTAGGTAGAACAGTTATTGGTCTGCTGCACCTGCACATGAACTTGCTCATAATGCATTAGTATAATAATATAACCATGTATGATAGCAGCTGTATTACTCCTTGTACTTCATTGAGAACATCTTTAATGGAGTTTTCCTTTTGCCAAAAAAAACCTATCTTTTTATTTTAATGCTAAAAGATGATTCAAAAGGAGGTTGGCAAAGACAGAAAGGAGAAAACAAGACAGAACCAAACTCTAAGGGCCTCTCAAGTCTGCTGAGAGACAAGAATCCAATTTGGGCAGTTTGCACTATGAAAGTGAAAAACAGTAGACTCGTGAAAGCCAACTAATACAAGAACACTCAGCAAGCTTGAGAGTATCTTTAAGAACAAAAAACGCTTCAGAAGCTATATCCAGAATGAGTGCTATTAATGAGGCTAAGGCACTCCGATTCCACCTCAATTCTTTGGAAGCTACAGAGCGTTGCCAATTGTAAACCTTCTAAGGATTGCGGTTGCTTCAGCCTGAAGCGGCAAGACTACTCTGCAAGGACCAAATCATGCGGCGGCGGCGGTGCAGTACCGAAGCTATCACGAGCCACCACCGCAAAGCTTGCTTTACTCGAATTGCTAAACGCCCCATCTGAGTATATCACCGGTTCCCGGAGGTTGCTAAAAAGATTTTTTCGGAGATCTTTCTTCAATTGTGGAGGAACCTGGCGAGTAGGTTTTCAAATTCATGATCATGCTTCTCAAGACTGTGAATGACCACAAATGAAACTGATCATGATTATTAAACGAAAGCATTACGGGATCTCCAAATAGCCCAAAGAAGATAGCAAGTGTGGATGAACAACTCTTCTTTATCCTATGGAGAATGTTGATATAAAAAAATGGTGTTCTCTCACCTGAGGTCCTGAACAGTAATTTTTCATCTTATTTTATAGGGAACTTTCAAGAATATTTTTGCCAAAAAAGGGATGATAAAAGTCACTACTTGGTCACTGTGAACTCTTTAGTGTGAAATTAGACCGAGAAAAGATTCATAGAGACGGACTATTTTAAAACTTGGATGGCAAGGATAGGTGAAAGAAAATGGTGGTTGGACGATGAGATATGAGACTGAATCAGCACCCCATAACGTTCCATAGCACATGTTCACCGTGTATTAGAAACATTTCTCAATGATAACATCATCATTTCTAGTATTATCATGGAGAGATATTTCTAATATACACAGAAATGGACGTTATGAGAAGCAATCTTGTGGGGGGCTGATTTAAGCTCATGAGATAATAATTTTTCATAGGATATGTGAAAAACCTCAGCCTCCCATTTCCTGAGACCAGGTGGGACCTGGTGTCATAAGGGAAATCACATGCCAATGGGCAAGTGGTGACTGTGGGGTGGGGGGATATTCACAGTTCATAAAAGTTCGACATACTAGCATTTTGCAAGATGCAATGTCCAAACCATAACCATCATTATTTATATGATTTACCTATGAATGTCTTAAATCAATGAATCAATTTAAGGATTAAAGTATTTAGATCAGACAGTTTATAATCATCATATTAGTAATATATTTTAATTTTTAAACAGCTGCACTAGCTGCTGAACCGGCACTAATAGATAGATAAACAGTCACCATGCAAATTGATTTATAAAAACAAAAATAAAACATAATAAAAGATATCATCATAATAGAGAGACCGAATCAACCTCCACTAGACGATTTCGGATCTTCAGCCCACGAGAACTTTGTTCACGCCTACCTACAATACACTACCTCTGCATAATGCTATGCAGAGGATGAGGTGTTCTTCATGTGGCTACGATAAACGTGGGTAGGAGATCCGGACTCCCATGAGACTACCCCCTACAACGTCGCACACCATATCTCACTACATCCTCGCCATATATTGAGACCATCTCTGGATGATGATATCATCATTCTTGGTATTGTCATCGGGATATGTTCTTAATATAAAGCGGAGATGTACTGTGGGACGTTGTGGGGGCTGATTTGAACTCAAAAAGAGAATTTGTAATCCGTTGATCCTCCATCTATCCATCCATCCATCATCAGGAAGTGTATAAATATAAATGATTAAGTGACCTCATAAAATGATTTTTTATTTCAAACATACGCCCAACAGGTCTCATTTCATCATGCATTTAGAAACAAAAGGTGATCATCTTTAAACCCATACCTTACTCCAGGTGGAGCAGCTACCTTAAAATTTTGTTAATCAATTTCAAAAGGGAAAAGAAATTACAGGGAGGAAGTAGCCCTGGTGCTAAACCAAAACACCTTATAAGCTCAGCCCAACCTAAAAGAATAAAACAAAAAAGAAAATACATCCATTAAGGTTGTGTTTGATTGCAGTATAATTTTATTTATACTAGTACAAATGCATAAGAGTGCAAATGAAAAGAATGCAAATTTTGGTTTAATTTTATTTTGAAACAAAAATAAATCATAATTGCACCAAAATCATTTGCACTACCACGATTTTACATCAGTGCAAATAAATTTGCATTGCAACCAAATACAGCCTAAAGAAAGAAAAAAAAAAAAGAAATCGATGCCCACTTGTATTGTATTCAAGAGATACCTAGGGGTGAGGAAAAAAATGAAAAACCGAAACGATTGAAAAAACCAATCGAAACCGAATAAAAAATTTAGTTAACCTAATCGGTCGGTTCGATTTTGGTTAACCAAAATAGAGAACTGACGGTTAACCGAACCGACCAATATACATATATTTATATATATTTTATGTATATTAATATATATTTTATATTTTTTATACATTATAAATTAATAAATAAGCATTATATATAAAATATATATATTTATAATATATACTATATTATTTATTATTTAAAATATAATATTATATATTTCTAGTATTTTATTATATATTTATATATTTTTCTATAATAAATATTGTAAATAATAAAAAATCGAAAAACCAATGAACTAAATTGATGGTTAACAGAACCGGTCAACCGATCGGCTTCGGTTCGGTTTCAGTGTTACCGGTTCAGTTTCAAAAGTTAGCCCACAATTTGGTTATACCCCTAGAGATACCCATCTTTTCCTCCCTTGTCCTCATCTTAAGTGTGTGGGGAGTAGGGGTGCTCATGGTTCGGTGGGCATTTTTTGGAACCGAACCGGTACTACCAGTTTTTGGAAAACTGGTAACCGGAACCGAACCGAAACCAGTTAGTTAACTGGTTGACCAATTCGGTTAACCATCGGTTTTTTCGGTTTTTTATTTTTACATTATATTATTTTAAATAATAAATAATGTATTATAAATATATAATTATATAATGCATATTTATTAATTTATAATATATAAAAAATATAAAATATATAATGTACATAAATATATATAAGAATATAGAAATATATGTATACCGGTCGGTTCGGTTTTGGTCGATTTTTTCAGTCGATTCGGTTTTTCGGTTTTTTTGCTCATCCCTAGTGGGGAGCTCGTCACTGGACCTGAACATCCAACTATTCTTCGTGTCTCACAATTCACAAAACAATTTGCCAAAAGCCGACGCTCACATGCATAATCAGCCATTCCCTATAAGCACGCCTAATTCTATTGGCCAAGGAATCCACACTGAATTCTTCAACAACTGCATCCTATTAGAATTCACAAAAATCGGACAAACAATATTCTTTTTCTCTCTCCATTTTTAGTACCATTCCTTTTTGGATTTTGAGAGGGGCAAAGTTGATCAATGGAAATTTGGTTTCCATTCACTAAGATACAAGTTCAAATCAGCCCCTCACAAGATTGCCCCCCACAATGTCCCACAGCACATCCCTGCCATGTATTGGGAACATCTCCCGATGATGAAATCATCATTTCTGGGATTATCATCGGGAGATGCTCCCAATACATGGCGGGGATATGCTGTGGGATGTTGTGGGGGGCTGATTTGGTCTCCTAAGATATCTATGCTGTTTTTTAGATGAAAAATTTATTTTCCTTGTAGGTGACTTAGTACCAACAATTGGATGGGACAAAATTACCCTTTTAATAATAGTTTTTTATGGCTAAAATGGTCATTGTCTTATTTACTTAAAAATATAATAAAAGAACATGGGTAAATGAATTACCTATTCCCTAAAAAATCACTTATCCAAATAAATACATTTACCCGAGCAAATAACTCCTCCAAAACCAAACAGAGCTATTATTAAAATTACCCTTTTAATAAATAGCTTTTTATGACTAAAATGGTCATTGTCTTATTTACTTAGGAATAAAAGAACATAGATAAATGCACTACCTAATCCCTAGAAAGCCCTTATCCAAATAAAGTACCGAACAGAGCCTTGTTAAAAATAACTTCCCTATAAAACACTTATCCAAAGTAAGCCTCTCAGCTGTGGATATGGAACTGATAAGGGAAAGCATCCAATCTCCAAAGTTTGAATGAAAATAACCTTTATTTTGATATCCAAACTGGAA